CACGACGGTGTCGTGCCTTGACGGCGTAGCGCTTTGTATCGAGAAGCTGCTAGGAGGTTCCGTGGCACGTGCCGCCACACAGCATCTACACAGGTCACGCTCATTACTGCATAGAGAGTGCGGTTCAAAACCTTTTCAAGGGCCATGGGTCACTAAGTCAGTCAGTCTGAGAATAACTAGCCAACTGTCTACATTCCACAACACTCACTTATATTTCCTGTAATTTTTGTTTAATAAATATCACATAATGTTATTTCAACGCAAACATTGTGTCTTCCACAGATTATTAATCTTAATTCCGAGATTAAATTCAAACAATAGATGATCGCGTTGAGAAGAACGTCGAGAAGAGATAGAGTCAAAATGTTCAGAAAATAGAAATTCCAACAAATATTTATTACTATACAGAACTATAGAATAGAAATTCAACTATCTTCCTAAACTCAGAAAGTCAACAAAAACGGACTATTACGCGTGATTTTCATATACATGGAATACCAATTTATAATATCAGGATTGATAATCTCGAAAGAAAATATATTTCTTCGTTCCATATTAGTAGCAATTGCCATTATAATAGCAAAATAACTCACTAACGAAAGTGAGAGAAACATACCTCGACGTGAGGGCATCGCTCCACTCGGTTTCGACAGCGATGCGAGGTTCGCCGTTTACGTCGTTTTCCGAATGCGGAGATGTTACTACTGGTTGACTACCACGGTACCAAGCCACTGTGCCTAAATCGTGAGGTCCTTGAGACATTAGACAAGTGAGCGTGAGAAGACTGCCGGTTTTCACGTAAATATCCGACGGGCCACTTATTCTGGCTCGTGCCTCTGTAAACAAAAATTATTTCACTCGATTAATCATTTGCTTTTATGGTTAAGATAAATATCTTATCTTATCTTATTCTACATAATTTCATGTATTCCTTGGGGATTCTGATATTCATGACGAACGTTACCATTAAGACGGCAACATTATAATTCATTATTAAGTATGTGCTTCGTCAACTGAATCTCGGTCACATCTTAAACTTTCAACATCGTACGACGTAACTGCAGAGCGGTTACAGGATGTAACGATAAGAAGCCTGGGAACGTTGAGGTGCGTCAAATAGTCGCTAAATGCTGCTTTCCAACCTGTGTCAATTTTAGAGACTATTATCCGATATCCGATGCCGATAAATTATTCATATCGCGAGCAAATCGCGTCGTATATAAGCAGTGAGCGTTCAGCTATCCTGGGGATTCGGTTCGACCTACTTTGTGATTAGCACGCGAATGTTTCCTCGGTACTGTGCATTTATAATGGCCGCGCGAGTAATTATCGTGCGAGGAAACTTGTCGCCAAAGCGAAGAGCGAGAGGGGGCGAACTTTGCTGAAACACGCGCCAACTATTAAATCGTTTAAAATTGCAGTTGCTGCATATATGGATTTTAGCGATATAAAATAAGAGGATCGACGTCGACAGGGTGTGATAGTAACGATAGTTTGAAGATTTGCGAAAATGTAGTTTTACCCTCTGCAGCCTCTTCGTGTTAACCCATACACAGATTTTCAATTTTAATTTAATGAATTGAATTTGCCGTGAAATGGAAGTGAAAGGGTTGAACTTTGAAAAACACAAGGTTTGAATCGAGTTATTCAGCGAAGTACACTTGTAATTCAAATCCACATGCTTCTGAAGCGAGTAGGCAAACGGTTGCATCTTTCTTAATTCATTGATAAATCTTCAAACAAACCGCTCAGACACAGTTTTCAAAGACGATATCGCGTATTCAGTTTTCATAGCGAAAGCTCCCTCTTTCATCCCTCCTTTTATGCTCCCTTTTTTCTGGTTCCTTTTTTGGAAAGCACTCATCAATTTTACCATGACCAGCGAAGGTTTCTATCAGGCAACAGTTCAATGACTTCAAGCGAACAGAAGAAGAATGTGTCCAGTCACTGTTGAGATATCAAATTCGTGCAAGAATAACGGGCATCTGATTCGCGCTATTTCACCGTGGGATTGGCGTATCGATTTTCGCTTTGAATTTCAACATGCCCCGTTAATACTGCAATTTTTGCATTCCAGCGTTTCTCGTGCACTGTCTAGTATTATCGAACATTACCGGATGTTTTGGTTAGCTTGTCACAGAGCTTTAATACTATCTTTTTCGCTTAATTCAGAACTTCTATCTATAATCCCTTAATCTGATAAAATAGAATTAAATATTCGCTTCGTGAATTTTATCTACGATTAGGAATTGACTATTTTAATATTTACTATTGGAACAATGTTATCTAAAAATAACAAGTAGTCGAGTAGAAATGAACTATTCCACCATATAGTAATGTGAATACAAAGTAGTTAAGATAAGCACGAAAAGTAACTTGTTAAACTTACTAGACGAAACAAAGTAACATCGGTTATATAAAAAATTGGTATACAGCCTGAACAATTGTGTCAAACACGTGATAAAATTTAAAAATGGTCCTACTGAATACCGAGATCTCTTATCGCGAACGATGGTTTGCCTAAATATTTTCTGATCTCTGTGAAACATATACCAGCTCTAAATATTGTGTACCTTGTAAATACATTTTCAAAATCGTTCCAAATTTTACAAATCATAATACCGTCGATGAGTGCACAAATTCTTTCGTCAGTCACTCTAAGTAACTTCATGACGAACTGCGTTTTAAGTTTCTTTGGTACGTCAGATACACAAAATTTTTTTATCATTATTTTATTTGTACTTTACAATTTGTCCAGCTGGACATTCGGTAAATTTTTCTAGCTTAATTGCTAAATAACATGTGAATGCCTACCCCCAGCGGGATACCATCTTCGAGTTTGTCTATTTTATTTCTTTAGCGAGGTCAGTGGGGTGTTTTCTCTTTAGTCTTCTTTTTATAAGAGTTTTACTCGCTTCAGCAGCCAGCTGGTTTGATGTGTTGCCGTTCTTTCCTTGTATATTTTTGCGTACCTGCCGATTTCACCCTTGACCGTTGGTACTTTTAAGTCTTTGCGTATATTCTCGTTTCTGATATACCATGGGGCGTTGACTATTGTTCTCAGTATCTTCGATTGTAGGGACTCTAATCGCGCGACTGAGTGTATATATAAGTATTCTAAGGTAAATATGTGAATCTATACAGTGGTATAAGTATGATACGAGACGCATGAACGACGTTGTATCGCAAGAAATCTCGTCTTCGGATACGGAGGGAGTTAAGAGAGAATAACGTAGCCGGTTTATCGATCGAACATAGCCAAGATATTCTCCCATTTATCATCGTAGCGACGAGCACGACTATGGGCCGCGTACGATGGTATCGTACACGCGGAACTCGCGATTACACGAATAATCGTGGCTCGGTACGCGCGTATGGGGATCTCCGCTATCGGACAAAAGCAAGTCTGATAAAAAGATTTCGCGTGGATTTACCGTGTGCCGAATAAATGTTTTTGCCCGGTTACGTGATTTATACCGTCGTGTGCGCACGCATCATTGGCGCCTAGTTTGAAACAAAAGGAATTCACTGCGCTTGAACTGGCGCCCATAGCTTCTTTCGCCCATTTCTCTTGTTCGTTTTCGAGTGGTTTAATTATCGTTCGGTATTTTATTATCACCGCGTCATTGCAAGCTTTTAGGCAAGTCGCTGCTGCGTTCCACATTTTTGCGAATTATCGATCAACTGCAATCGTTTGAAGGGACACAAAGGATTGAGTATATTATCATTCGAAAGCAGCGAGCAAGAATATTAGTAATTTTTACATTTTTAATTTCAAAATTAAGAAAACAATTAATTAATAAGAATATACAATAGGCTATAAGCAATTCGAATTAAACGTCCGAATAAATGACAGATACATCCGTTTACAAGAACTATGTATAATTAAAAACATAGAAACTTGAATGTTGAGTAAAATAACAACGATATTTAAAAATATTACGAGCTCTGTATTTCTACCAGAGCTACATAAAACTTTAAAAGAAATAACAAAAAGAGAAAAACATGTAATTCGAAAGGCCGTAAAAATCTGCAGCACTATATCGAGCATATATTCCTTTTTAATCGACGGTGTTTCACGTAGTGTTAGCGCTCTTCAATCTTTCACCTTTTAAAATACCGACCGAAAGCCTTCGTGTAAAAACGTAATATCCATATTGAATGAGGAAGCTGGCGATGCCATTTTTCGCCAAAAGGAATAATTGGTAACACGAACACGTTTTGTTGGATGTTTCAGCGTGTAGCTGCAGATCGTCTTATATGATTATAGCCCCTAAATGATGAGAACTACTAATAAGGCAGAGGAAATGGATCGTTCGATCAGATGTTTCGTCGAAGTAAAAAATATAAAAATAGCTAAAAATGACATACTTTTAAATCGTACTCCGTTTTCTGGAAAATATCGAGTATTTCGGCGATAATCTCCATGAGGTTATAAAGATAAAACGACGCGACATTGGTTGGAAGCAAATTTACCTGCATTTCTACAGAAGATTGGCCATGTTAATCCCTCAATTAATGCGTGGAATATTTTAGGAGAAAAGATTTGTCACGAGCCATCGTAATATCGAGATATTAAACACAGTTTTGTTAATGCTACAGAAATCGAAAAACTAAAAAACAGAACATTTTGTTTACGTATCAGATGATACAAGAAAGCAACGATGAAAAAAATATCAAAGTAAATCTGCGAGATTCTATTTCACCATTAGATCTTACAAAATGGAATGCAATAATGATAATGCATTGAAAAATATATTTCGATCTAAATATCAAAATACGACTGAGGCGGAATGGTGTAATAGGTACTGAAATGCACTCGGTTATGTTTAACCAATAACGTTTATTAAACTTGATAACAACGAATAACAATTAACAGCTAACAACAGTTGATACTTAACGACGATCAAAAATAGCGAAGTTCGGTCGATTCCTCGATAATAGCGGACTCGTTTACTTTCGTCTTTTGCGTTTCGCGGCTCGTGGTCGAATGTCCTTATTTTTCCGATCGAACTGATTCTTCCCTTCGTTCGCCATCGATATCCCCACTAGCGTGCGTTCATTAGAAGTTCCGCTGCGGCTGGCGCATGTATGCTCTTCCGAGAAATTCGGCAGAAGGAGCGTGAAGATATCGATGACGGATTGAGTGCGTCGTGTTGCGCTTTGGCGGCGTAGCGCTTTGTATCACGGAGCCGTTGGAAAGTTTCATAGTCCGTGTCGCCACACGACTATGAACGATAATTTTATCATTTTTTATCAATAATGACTAATCAAAGATTTTTATTATATCTGAATCAAGATACGTAGAAACTATTGAATTATATTTTTATTAATACTATTTTCAATAAAGTTATACAAAGTTGAAAGTTTTATAAAAGGATCCGGCCATTTTACTTGCAACGATCTAGGATGATCGAAGAAATCATACAATGCGCTTAATTAATTACTGAAAGTGTAACGCGCGTTAACGCGCCTCCGATCGTAGCGGATAAGAAAAGGGCGAATAGTTTATTCGAATTTAAATTACAAGATCCATCGAGATGAAGATAGGAGGGCAATCCGAGAGGCGGAAGATTTTTTCCACCGCTTAATCTTCGCTTAATGCGCGTTTTTATGGGATCTTTCACGCTTAACTGATGTTCGAAGAGGATTAAGAGAGTAGAACCCTACGCGATGAGGCTCGTGAAGTACGATTCAGTTGCAGTCTGGCATTTCATTGAATGATTATCTTCGATGAATACTAACAATTGCGGAATTCATTTCTGCATTGGAATCAAGCCGAATTTACGATTTAATGCAAGTCTGATCGACAGAAAATGGGAAAATGGTCGAAGACTATTACATATGTAATACAGTTTGAAGATACA